TTGCGCCTAATTACAAATTCTGCTAAAAGTAAAATTGGATTAATAAATTAATAAATTAAGGAGAGATATGGCAGAAAAAGAAGTAAAATATTCTTTCAATATTTTCCATCCTTTTTCTTACCAAACTTTTGTTTAAGAAAATACTGATATGAATTATAAAATATTTCTTAATATTCAAAAATACTTATGAATTTTATGAATTTAAGTGACAAATTTAAAAAAATTACATGATTAAAAATAAATAATAATAATAAAAATAAATAATAAAATTAAAAAATAAATAGATAAGATAAAAATGTAAATTAAAAACGTGTAAATTAATAAATAAATTAATAAGTATTAATTAATTAGTAAATATATAAATAAATTTATAAATAAATAAAAAAGTAAAGTGAATAAATAAATAAATGATAATATAAATTAATAAATAAATCGATAAATAAAAATATAAATAATTAATATATAAATAAATGAAGCAATAAATAAATATTAATTAAAAATTAAAATGAATATATAATATATTTAAAATAATATCAAATGTTAATTTAAATAATTAAAAATTATTTTCTATATTAAAAGAATTTAGTTATTGTATTATAATTTCGATCTATCTGTTAGGAAAGATCGTTGGGTAATGAGCTCTCCGTCGCGACCTCCTTTGTATTATAGAAAGTCGCGACAATCGAAATTCGGCGGAAACAAACGAATTATACCGATTAAATTAAAATCGATTTATTGAACATAATAATTTATCAAGTTTTAGATTTTTATTATTAATTTGCATATCTAACAATCTTTAACAACAATATATATAATAATTAATATATATTTTTAGAAACTATAGCTAAATTTACTATTTTATAATATTGATTTTCGACTTTTAATAGTATTAAAATTCTAATTAAAATTCTAATTGTTATTTTACATGGAATATAATTACAAAATAAACACAAGAAGAATTTATAGTGGTCAGTAATTTATCAATTTTGAATTTTCTATAATAACGTTATTTCTAACAATGTATTGCAATAATAAATATATTAATTGAAACATTTTTACAATTAAAACTATATTATAGTTTAGTTATTATATTAGTTTTTTATTCGTAACTATGCTAAGATTTTAAATGCCATTTTTAAAATAATTATGAAATAACAACAAATTAACAATACCAGTTAATTGAGAATAATTATGTAATGAAATAAAAATTAATGGTTAAAAAGAATTAGAAGATATTAAATCTATTTCGATCTATTTATAAGAATATTTTATAACAATTTATATATTTTTTTTTATCAATAATCACTCAATTTGTATATTTTATGCGCTGATAATAATTTTTATTAAAATAATTTTATTAACCAAATTTTTTAAATGAAAAGAAATGAATGATTGTTTAAAATTTAAACTTTTATATAATAATTAATTTAATAAAACATTGAAATTTTTTCGATTTAATAAAATAACTATATTGAAATAATTTACTTTTGATTAAAAATTTTAATTTTAATTGAACAAAACAATATATACTTGTATTCTTTCATTTTAAAATCAAAAATAACGAATGATATAGAAGCAAAACACGAGTTTAACATTTTTTTAATTTAACTAAAAATAAAATCGAAATCTATAAATTATTCTTTATAAAAATTTTTGAAATGACATTAGCAATTTAAACAGAAATATAAGGAAGTTATGAAATTGTTATGAAAGTTATGGAATTGTTGAAAAAAATTAGATATTAAAGTTCATGGTAAACAAGTTTAATTAATTCATCGTAATTGAGTTTCTATTTAAGTTCCAATTATCATATTCAAAAATTTATTTAATCCATTAGCAAAAAAGCTAAAACGTGTGATTCATTGATCGTATAATCGAACGATAAAATTCAATAAAAATATTTTGATAACTGTTGCTTCGTATTCCGTTTGTATTCATTATCATTGTTTGAATTCTTTACTTTTAATATTCTGAACTTATTTTCCAATCAACATTCATTAAATTATAATAAATAAAGAAAATTAATAAATTTGTTTTAAATTTTGAAAAATTGAAAATTATTTCAAAAATAATAATTCAATAATAATAGTAAATGTGAATAAAGATTGAAAAATTAAAAATTAAAATAAATTAAAAATTTAAAATTAAAAACTTAAAAAAAAATAATTAAAAGAGTAATTGAATGAAAATTTAAATTAATAAATAAATAAGTGAATAAATAATTACATAAATAAATTAATCAATCAATATATGAACAAATAAATGGTAACATAAATTAATAAATAAATCATTAAATAAATTAATTAATAAATTGTTAAATAAAGAAATAAATATTTAAATGAATAAATAAATATATGGATAATTAAATCAGTAAATGAATTAATAAATAAATTTATAAAAAATTAAAAAAATAAATCAAAAAGTAAATATTGAAATAAATAAGTGTATAAAAGAATAAATAAAAATGAATTATTTTTTAATAAAATAAATTTTAATTAAAAAGTAAAATGAATAATTGATAGATTTATATATATATAATATATATAATAATATTAAATATTGATATGGAATATTTATTATATTGTTATATATGAATATTATAAGCATAAATGATTTAAAATTATTTTCTATTTTAGTAAAATTTTAACAGTGTTATATTTCCAATCTCTTTTTCAGAATGATCTTCTTCTCGAATTTAATATCTATATGTATAAAATATTTCTATAATTGTCACGAAGTTTGGCGAAAATGTATGTTTATCAATTTTATAAAAAATAATTTTTCGAATATAGAAATTAATTATTTAAGTAATGATTTTAGCAATTTTTAAACGTTTTTATCATTAATTTAAATATCTAACAATTTGTTATAATATAATTATTCATAATTGATCGATATAATAATTTTAATATATTTTTATATATTATATTTTTATATATTTTCATTAATATTAATTTTTGATATATAAATATGCATTAAAATATTTTAAATACTATTTAGGGGAAAAATAATTATAATATAATCATAAGTTATAAAATGACCGATAATTGGTCAATTATGAATAATTTTGATTTGAAATAAAAGTTCCATTTTATATTAAATTAAAAATAAAAAGATAACGTAAAAATTGAACGATTTTTCATATTATTTTAATTATTTTAATATAATATTCAAGATATTCTCCAATAATTTATAAATTCTTTAATATTTTATGATATACTATAAATTATATATATAAACTTTGAAATTTTTTTATTTATATATTTTATAACAAATTACAAATTTTCTTAATTTGTATGACGCGTACATTATTTTCATTATTTTCTGTTATTTTAATATAAAATTTTCAAATTTTATTCAAAAGTTTTATCTAAATTATTTAAATTGGTAAAATGTTTTTTTTATCTTAGACTAATATTTTTCTCCACTTTAAGATTATAAAATTATAAAATATTATCATATTTTATTTATGATTGTATAGTAAAGTTAGATTTCTTTTCCAACAGTTGCTAACATTATAATCTCGTTGTACACTCTATCGGTAAGGTTGGAAATGACAGTAAAATGATAAGGAGTCTCTGGAATATTGGAATTCTTATATCTCGTTTGTGTTCTTACCAACAGTCACATAGAATCTAAAATATTTAATCTAGAAATATATTGTATCAAATACTTAAAGTCTTAACAATTAATGGAATATTACTAGAAAAAAAAACAAGCAAATATCATTAGTAAAAATTATTGCTAAATTTTATTAAGTGTCATCTAATTTTTGCTTTACAATTTTTTTTTATTCATAATAATAAAGGTGTGACTTTCATTTCATAGTTTATTCTAATGTTATACCAAGATCATAATAGTTTTATCTTTAGTACATAAAAAAGATAGGTTACATAAGACATTGAAAATGAAGAGGTATTCCATAACATTGCAATTTTACTGCGCTTTGTAATCATTCGGCTGAAAATAGTTTAATTGTGTGCTCTAAATCAATTTATTTCTTTGAGTCTGTTCTGTCGAGTACAATGATTATGCGAGAGAAAGATAACACGTAACGTAACACGAGATAGTGTACAATCTTCTTGTAATTGACGCAGTTAATATTATTTGAATTCACCAAACACGTATCATTTTTTCCTATAGTATAGTCGCAAAGATTATGTTTCATAAATTTTATATAAATGTTATTATTTCGGAATTGTGCCTTTGCATATCTTTCCTGATGGTCCATTTGTTTGTAACTACGTCCCTGATTTCCGTATGGTCTTTAATTTTGCCCCCCTTTCTCATAGCTGTCACAAGCCATATTAGCTTTCATTAAATTTTAAGGTTTTGAAACATTTTACTTTACTACATAGTGATCTTTCTATAATTCTTCCTTAACGTTCGTTGAATAGTATATTTTTTAACCTAACTTTATTATTCTTATGTCTAAACATACGGATAATATAATGTGCGTTAGATAATATTACTGATAAATTCTTGCTCCTTTCTTCTTCTTTTTTACCATCATGTTCTTAAGGTCATAAATCATAAAAAAATTCAACATAAGAAAAATATATAATTTTATTCGAGATGAACAGTCTCATTTCTCAACTAGCCTTATCAATTCCAACTATTATCATATCCACGCTGATACGTAATTATCGGGATCTCGATGTCTCGGAATTTTATTTTATTCTTTATAATTACAATTACATGTATAACTGATATATATATATTAAAGAATATATTCCGTTATTGATCTCAAAAATCTGCTATTGCTTGATCTCAAATCTACTCACTTGTAATTTTTTTTATCAATCAATGTGAAATTTTTGCAACAAGATCGATTATTTTCCAAGGAAAAATGTTTCGGAACGAAGCGACATCTGCTCCAAAATCGATATGACGATCGGAGCGCCGATGTTACTCCAACGATATTATCACGAATGATGCTAGAGATTTTTATCGGCCGCTGAAAGATTGCCGGAGAATACGTAATCAGCAATCGAATCACGTTTTTGACAATGACAGTTACAGGCCACGTGGTACGATGATTGGATTTTACGTCCCTGAAAGCCAGCAAGTTTCCAGTTGCTCTTCTCCTTGTCCATCAACAACCATCGTTGTATGTCGGCGTTTCGCTCTCTCTCTGTCTCTCTCTCTCTCTCTCGAAAGAGAGAAGGTATGGTCGGGATTTTCATGGCCATCCGCACGTTTTTCAGTGACCTATCGTTATCGTTTCATGACTCATGCGAAACAAGATCGTGTGAAAGCCGATTATTCTTTGCCGCGATCGCGAATCACGAATCGTATGAATTTTCGTTCCTCGGATTCTCCGAAAATTGATATAAAAGAGTAGGGACGACGGAGAGGCAGTAGGCAAAATATCGGTCGCACAACAGAGCGAAGAAGAAACACAGAGCGATGAAAAACAAGAACGGAAGATCCGTGAACAGAAGAGAAAGAAAGTGCTTAGAGGGAGGGAAATAGAGAGAAAGTGAGGGGACGAGTCGGGATTTGCGAGAGGAGAAGAGATAGAAGGAAACGTTGGTATAGATAAACGGGGAGGAAAATGAACAAAGAGGGAAAGGAAGAGGAAGATGGAGATAGAATATACAAAGAGGTATGGAAGAAGAAGAATGGAGCGAGAGAGGCGGGCAAAGTGGGGATTGCCACGCCGTTTCGGTCGTCGCCACCGGCGCGCCTCTTCGTTCTACGATCGATTTTCCACGATTTTTCACTCCAGTGTGCGGTGTCTTCTCGAGAAGAGGAGTATCGGAGTACGTGGTGAACGAGACACGACAAAGTCGGCTCTCGTCTCGGCTCGTGAAGAAGACGCGATAAGCGAGAACAGGCGAAGGAAACGCGTCTACAAACACGGCACTACACACACGTATATAACCAATAGTCGCGCCTTCTCGCGTGCGACTGTGTAACGTGTTCTCCACATCCCCTCCTCCTGCCCGTTCTCCCTCTCTGTCGCCACCTTTCTTCCTCTCACGCACATTTCCTAGCGCACGTGTATACCGGCTTGCTCGAAGTAGTGTGTAGCGTGGTTGGCAGTGCGCGCGCGCGTACACCCATGCATTCTCCCTCTTGCTCCATCCCCTTTGCACGTACACGTTTTACACACAGCGCGCCAGTGTTTCGAACCTGTGTTTGTCAAGCGTGAGTTTCTCTCCCTCTCCGTGCCTATCTGTCTGTTTTCTTCCCGGCTGGGAGCAAGTTGGAGTAGCGAGTGTAGAGAGCCGGAGTCACGATTTACCGTACGCGCGAGAACGTTGTACGTTGGTAATCGTGAGAGATAGTTGTGTGTGCGTGCCAACGTTCGTGTTCCTCGCTGGAGAGCAGTGCGTTTTGTCACTCTCGCAGGATCGCAACAGTGCTCCCTACTGCACGTCCCGTCACATCGAAGGGATCAGTTTCGATCAGGTCTTTTCGTGGTTGATCGCGATTAGATCCATCGTTTCGTGATATACATGAATTCTTTGTGTAGTTGAATTTGAAATGGCGTTTGATTCACCGCGCAAACGACGCCTATCCAGTGCCAGTGACGCCTAGTGTGAGAAAGTTTGCAGTGATTCGCACACAACGTACCGTACAGTAACAGTTACATTTTTCTTCTAGCTGGACGAGAGAGATACGCGAAATGCAAAGAATCGCGTGGTAATGATCGGGGGTTATGATTCGGGTACGAGTTCGACATGGGCGGAATCGTGGCTCGAGGTTGAAAGGGTCGATATGGCGTAAAAGGGTTCTTCGCCAAAACGACGATAAATCAAACGCCTGAGTTTTAATTAATCGAGCGATCGTTTCCTCCCAATTTTTCTCAATTTCTCCGTCTAACTCTCTTAGATCGTAATTATCGTAATTATCGCGTTGATGCCGTGACAATTCGTAGCACGTTGTCCTTCTAAAGTATCGATACAAACGTGTACGAAAATATTATCGTTTCGTTTCATCCGATTGTTGTTGTATCGTATTGTATCGATACCATAATTGTATTAATAAAAAATAACTTTCCATCTACATAGCATCGCACGAGATACATGTCAATGTCATCCGCTTTGATAATTTATTCTCTCTGTATATCCGCCAATGTATATAGCATATCTTAATCGATCTTCGCTGTCGTGTAATTGTACGTAACCTCATCGATGCTTTTCTCTCGAGAATATTGGAAAAGGGATCGTCGACGCGGTGTCAGGTATGAAGTATCAGCAGTAAAGTACGAGTACCATCGACGACAAAAGGCAACACCCTTCGCCCTCGAATCTGCCCGTTTGAAGAGAGACGTTTTCGCACGAAAAGAATCGATTCGTCTTCTATCGTGGTCGATCGGTGTGATCCCACGCGACACGATGCCATCGATGCGTGCGACCTATGCAAATACAATCGTTGCATAATACCAGTCGCTTCGTGGCCTGAGTTTGAATGTTTCCCGATGACTCGTCGCGGAATTGGATATTTCTCGTCGCGAAGGATATTGAAATCGGAAGCAGCGAGCGCTTCTCTCAACATCTTTCTTGCGAAACGGAAATAGGCAGGAAATCGTCGATAGGATCGTTGTACGAACAATATAACGTTTACTTTTTTTTCAATAATCTTCAATAATCCATCCGAAATAATATATAGAAATTATTTTCACGAATGAGCGACACAAATATCGTGTTAATGAACGTACACACGTGATATTTACACTTGAAATTTTGTATAAATCACGTTCAGAGATACACAGGGTGATCGACTCGTGAACAAACGTAAATTAAACTTAGAAATGGAAAAATATTTTGATATTAAAAGCGGTGTACGCTTACAATTCGGAGAAAAGGATCAAACGATATAGTGCCCAGTGCAATACGATTTTTTATCAATTTTAATATCTCGAGTTTACCCTTGAACCGATGCTCACACGTTACGATACACCCTATGTAGGTGCATTCGTCGAGGCGTCGCACGCCAGTGAGTCATCCTTTATTGCGGAACTGCTTGAATTTTCGTTCCAAGATCGGCGGAAACGTTTTTCCACGTTTATATATTCTCGCCGTCCAAGTTGGTCGAGACTCTCGGTTGTTTCTTTCCACCTAACTTTCCACGCAACTAGGATGAACATAGGACGTTGAGTTTCTCCGTGACGTATAAATGTCAAGGCTCGTGGTTCTCGTGCACGCGTGCAGCGCCGCTGCGGCCGGCTCTCGGTTAACTTGCGGTTGATATTGCAATCGTTGAGTCATAATTGCGAGTCGTCCATTTGCTGGTACCGTCTCCTAAATCGAACGTAACAATTCCTCTTTGTCCTCAGGCTCGTCGTTATTCCCTGCCAAACGCCGGCACAATTCTTTTACGATCAACCTCGTTTCCATCTTCTCGCACGAAACTTTCTGCATCGCCGACTCCCAATCGCGCTGCACGAGATAGATAGAATTACATCGGATAGATGGAGAGATAAGGGGGAAAAAAAAAAAAAAAGAAAAAGGAAGGAAAAAACTGAGATGCGCGTTTCCACGATGATCGTGGATAGCTTTTTTCGGACAACCCCTTTTCGTGGAAACGCGAGACGGACGTTGCTGGATCGTTGCTCGATCCACGTCGCGGAGGCGTTCGACCGCGTGTCCCCTCGATCTTGACGTACTAAAAATATAAGGGGAAGCCGCTTTAAAACGTTGCAGAGGGGCCGTGTAATTATTGCTTCGCGACCAGCGAATAGCGAAGCTGATGCGCTCGTTGCTGCCGCCGGTCGTCTCCGCTGTTGCTACCGGCGCTGTCGCTGCCTCTCGGTGTTCTAGCTCGACGAGAAACAATCGAGGTCATAATTCCGACTAATTGAGGCACTCGACGGCGCAATTAGGACAACGCGCGAGCCGGGAACCGGCGATGATCAAATTTATTTTTTTCACCGCCTCTCTTCTCATCTCGCCATTCCCACATGTATTTATCGCGGTCGAGCAGCAAAGGTAAAAAAAAAAGAGAGAGAGAAAGAGAGAGAGAGAGAGAGAGAGAGAGAGAGAGAGAGACAAG